GTTTTATAATAAACTGCTTTTTACATAAAGAGCTCCATGTAAATGTGCCACAGAACATAGCAACATGGACTGTTCACTCAGCTGGGCTCACTGAGTACCGTGCAAAATGAAGACAAGACCTATGCATCATGTGTGTGTGTGTGTGTGTGTGTGTTCAGATGTACTGACTGCACTGCACTGCACTTTGCAGGCTCTGAGTGTGAGAATTCACACAGTCCCTGCCCTCACACAACTTACCCTAGGGGGAGATCAACCTGAACTCTCCCTAATGAAAGCAAAGGCCTGGAAAAGAGAGGAAGGGAGGAGCACTGGACACCAAAAAGCAGCCAAGACTGCAAATGTGGATGCTTGAAATGTTAACATGAGGAATTTAGTTTGATGTTAGATATGTGAAATGTATTTAATAATTTAAAACATGGTCCAACAGTTGCTCTTATTTATATTTAAATGTATTTAAACTATCTCCTAGCCTGGCATGGTGGTCCACGCCTGTAATCCCAGCACTTGGGAGGCTGGGGCAGGAGGGTCACTGTGAGTTTGAGACCAGCCTGGGCTGCATAGTGAGTTCCAGGTCAGACTCAACTACATAGTGAGACCCTGTCTCAAAAAAACCAAAAAAAAAAAAAACCCCAAAACAAGCAAAAAACTATCTCCTGTTTTCTTTTTAGTTTACTGAACTCAGAACAATGCTATAAAGATCTACCAGCTCTATAAAATGAAAACCTTCTTTCAGATTGCAGTGATTTCTTTCCCAGTCCATTGTTTTAACTCTAACGACCGACTAATTTCTCACAGTGAGAATTAGAATCATTCTATGAAGTTTCACCAACATTGGAGTTGTAGTGAGTATAGTGGGAAAATATAAATTTACTTATTCCTACTATTTATTGTTCATTCCTTTCCTTTCATGGCCTAGATTTTTGCTTTATTTATTCAAAACTCTGCTGTTGTTTTTGTTGTTGTTGTTATTATTAGACAGAATGTCCTGATGTAGCCTAGGCTAGCCTAGAACTTGTTAACGTAACCTAGACTGGCCTGGAAGCTGCACTTCTCCTGTGGTAGTCCCCTGTGAGTTAAGGTGTGGTATAAAACTACTCAGCTGTTTAAAACTGCATAAATTTCTCATTAATATTTGTTGCTTTTGTATATTTCCATTCAAATTCAAATCTTATAATCAGCTTATTGATGCAGTCATTTTTCTTTTCCTTTTAAATTGAGCCAAAAGAAACATAACATTTACCATCATATCCCCCTTCCACAAACAAGTCAGTGTGTGAAGTATGTTCATGTTTTAGTACAACACAATAGAGAACTCCTTTGCTTCATAAAACAAAAATTGTCCCTATTCAAAGACAACTTCTCATTCTTCTACACCAAAATCCCTGGCAACCACTACTCTATTCTGTTTTTAAGAGTTTGACTCTTTTGGTCACATCTCTGTGGTGTTTAAACACTGGTGTCAAATTGACTGGATTAAGGAATGCCTAGAGAACTAGTAAACATCATTAGTGGGTGTGTCTCTGAGGCTGTTCTTAGAGGGATTGGCATTTGAGTCAGTGAGATGAGCAAGCAAGATGTGCTTTAAGTTGGCCATGCACCCACAAGTCAGCTAAGGGCTTGAATAGAGAAGAGAGATGATTGCAGGTGTCTGTTTCCTGGAGCTGGCATACACACTTCCCTCACTGTTGGACAACATAAACCCAGATGTTCAGATCATTAGACTTGGACAGAGCCACTCTACTGGTGTAATAAGATCTGTAGCTTGTTGAAGGCCTCTCGGGGGACTTCTTCAGCTTCCATGAGCACAGGCACGACTTCCCCTAGAAAATCTCCTGCCAGAAATCTATGTATCTGTCCCATTTCTATATCTTGACTAACACTTATACAAGTGTTTATCTTTTGAGACTGGCTGATTTCACTTGGTTTAAGTATTCAAGATTTTCCCATTGTAGTATTCAGATTAGGCAATTATAAAATGATAATGTGTATTTACATAACTCATATTTTAGCGTTTCAGATTCAGGATTTATAGCTTTATCTGTTTCAGCATTTGGTGAGACTGACATTACGGCAGGTGCACTCTCAAGAGTGAGTGTTCACATCTGGAAGCAGAAAATAGAAAAGGAGATTGGTGGGGACCCCAAATTACTTTTGAGGGCACATCCTGAAAGAACTAAGGAAATCTCATCATGTCCAACTCTAAAGAACCACAGTAACTTCCATTTGGCCACCGTGTGGACAAAACCGTTTTCATCAATTCTTTCAGGGATATCCATCTAAACACTAGCATCTGTGATATGCTGTGCCATAGTATTTCCTATTTTTAAAAAATCTAAATAGTGTTCTACCATATTCATATAGCACATTTTATTCGTTCATCTATTAGGGTACAGTTGTTTTGCTTTACCATCTTATCTATGATGAATGACATTGGGTGCACAAATATCTCTTTGTACCCTCTTTTCAATCACTTTGGATATATATCCAGAAGTAGAATTGCTGCACCTTGTGGTAATTTAAGAAGCCACTGTATTGTATTCTATTGCAAGAAGAACTTTTTTTTCTCCAAGGCCTGGGGGAAACCAGAAGCTTTCTCCACTGCAGGTGTTAGTGGATATATCATTGAGGATTTGAGGTGTACTTCTTTCTTTTCCTCATTGAGTTTATTGGTACATTTTAGATATAAAGTACAGTTACATTCTTCATTGGGATCTTGTACCTTTACATGACAGGTCTTGGTTCTCATTTTTACCCCTTGTCCCTGCCCTCCCTTCACCCCCTCCTACCCTCCCCATTTACAAACACTTTATTTTCATTTTTAAATTTTCTCCTATTTTTTTCTTTTCCCTTATTACCTTTCCCCTACCCTTCTCACTTTCCCTACACCTTTAGCCCTTTTCCTATTTCACATTGTCAATTGTCTCATTAGGATCTTATGTACTATTATAGTTTTTTACATCAGAGAAACTATTCAGTATGTGTGACTTATTTATTTCACTTAGGAGTATATCCTCAATATATATCTGTTTTCCTATGAAAGAATCTAATTTCTCATTCTTTACGGCTGAGCAGTATTCCATTTTATAGAAAAATCACATGCTTTTTTCATGACAAAAGATGTTAAGCAACTTTTCATGTATTTTGGCCACTTGTACATATGATTTGGGGAATTGTCTTTTTAAATTCTTTGCTCATTATCTAGGGTTTTCTCTTTTGTTAAATTGTAGGAATTCTTGATATAGTCTTGGTTTTGTTGCCTGCAACTTTAGTGTCATATCAAAGAAATAATTCCCAACCTAAGTGTGATGAAGCTTTCCCTTGGTGTTTCGTCTCAGAGTTTTATAGTTTATGCCTTACACTGAGATTTTTAATCTGCTTTGTGTTAATTTTTATGTGTGGATAAGGTAAGTGTCCAACTTCATTCTTTATGTTTTCACACCACTTGTTGAAGAGACTATTCTTTTATTGTTGCATGGTCTCAACACCCCTGTCATATATCATTTTACCATTTACATTAGGGTTTACTTCTGGATTCTCTTCTCTGATCCATTGGTCTATTTGTCTGTCATTTTATGCCAGTCACCCTGGTTTTGACTTCTGCAGCTTTATAATATGTTCTTTTAAATTGAGTTTATTGGTGCATTTTAGGTATACAGTATGGTTACATTCATTATTGGGATCTTGTACCTTTACATGACAGGTCTTGGTTCTCATTTTTCCCCCTTACCCCTGCCCTCCCTTCACCCCCTCCTCTCTGCCCTGTTTACAAACACTTTATTCCCATTTTTCATTTTTTTCTTTTCCCTTATTATCTTTCCCCTACCCTTCCCACTTTCCCTACACCTTTAGCCCTTTTCTTCCTATTTCACATTGTCAATTATCTCATTAGGATCTTGTGTACTATTGTAGTTTTTCACACCAGAGAAACTATTCAGTATTCACATGTGTGACTTATTTATTTCACATAGGAGTATATCCTCAATATATATCCATTTTCTTATGAATGACTCTAATTTCTCATTTTTTATGGCTGAGTAGTATTCTATTTTATAGAAAAACCACATCCTCTTCATTCAGTTTCCAACTCATGGGCAAATGGTCTGTTTCCAAGTTTTAGCTATTGCAAACTGTGCCACTATAAGCATAGGTGCACATATATCACTGTGATTTGATTCTTTAATTCTTTTGGAAAGATACCCAGCAGAGGGATGGCTGGGTCAAATGGAACCTCTAGTCCAGCTCTTTGAGGTATCTCCGTATTGATTTCCTTAGTGGCTGCACCAGTCTGTACTCCCACCAACAATGGAGAAGGGTTCCTTTCTCCCCACAACCCCGCCAACATTTTAAACTCAAGAAGTGTTCTCGGTGTCAGCATGTGTGAATGTGTCTCCCAGAGCTGAGGCAACATTGTTAAGCCGGTGGAGTGTTTAAGGCAGGATGTAGTGGGAAGTACTTAGGCCATGGTGACACCATGCTCAGGGAATGAGTTTATTTTGCTTAGTATGAGCTCAGTGTCTCATGGGGCTTGATTAGTCCTTTCAGAGTCGCTGTTATGAGGTACTGGGCAGCTCCCCTCCACCTCTCTTGCTTCCCGTCTCTCTGTGGGACCTATCCCTCTTGCATGTGCTCCCAGTACAATATTTCCACTGTGTTATGATACAGCCAGGAAGCCCATAGCACAGCTGGCAGCTACTGTTTCAGTGCTCTTGGACCTCCTGAACTGTATACTAAGTAAACCTCTTTTGAAAAATACACTACCTACCACCAGGCATTCTGATATAGCAATAATAAAAGGGCGAATAGAAAAGCAAAACCACCAAATTTGTTCCTGTTTCAAGACTTTTCCCTTGGATGTCCCAGAGATTTCATACATTTTAGTATTTTTCTATTTCTGTAAAAAATGACATAAGGATTATTTTAAGTATTACTCTGCTTTTATCATTTTGTTTTTCCGTTCATGATCTTTTCCTGATGTATAATAGCTATGATTTCAACATTTTCTTATCGAATGTTTTATTTGTCTAATGCCGGTTCTGTGCATTGGGGAGATGCGATGGGGAAGCAGGATGTGTCCTGCTCTCTCACTGCCCTCACAGAACATCTCGATGCACTGCATTCACAGCCATCCTGTCAGTGACAGAAGCAGGAGTTCTCTTGCCAGTGGTTTTCATGAAGAAAAATAGCAGGTGACCAAGTACTACTTCAAAACCCTGAAGAAAGCAGGTTGTGCTCTTAGGACGTTAGGTGGAAGAAAGAAATAAGGAGGCATCACAATATTGCCGTCTGATGGCTCTGTCATCCTATCAGGGAAAATTTCCCAGCCATATTTTATTTTATTTATAATTTCAATTTTAATAATTGTATATATTTGTTCAAATAAGCAACACATTCATACAATTAAAAGCACAAAAGGAGTTTCAGAGTTAGCTATTTTTTCAAAGTTAGTCATTATTTTCTAAATTCTATGACAGTAACCTTATACACTTTCTATACTTTTTGTCACTTACATCTTAGAGACATTCTCATATTAATATCTGATACTAATATGTTTTCATATTAACATCCCTCATATTAATATTAATGAAAGTGTCCTCTTTCATTTTAGTGACTATACAGTATTTTTCTTAAAGCATGTTTTGAAATTTACGTACCAACAACTAACAGAGGAACTTTAAAGTGGTTTCCATTGTTCTAGAATTCAAATGATCCTCAACAAATAAAATATTAAAAATGGCATTTTCAACTAGGCTAAAGCCATAAAAAAAATCCCTAATGCAGTATTGTTAAATCACAGGTATGTGCATTTTAATTTTTGATATATTATTTCAATAGTTCATATTCTCAGTAGCAAATATGAGACTGTTAACTTCTCTTAACCCCTAGTCAGCTTAAGGTTTTGTCAAAACCATTTTTCTTGCCCATAATTGAGGTGAAACAAAAACTTCATAGTTTTACTTTGCACCACTTTCATTATGTCAAAGTGGAAACATTTTTCTTATATGTTTATTTAAAAATGTTATTGGCCTATTCTCAGAAGAGCTCTCCATAATTTAAATTATCTTCATGATTAAAATATAATCTGCTAATCTTTTCTTCATCATTCCATTGGTTTTTGCTTTACTTAAATCTTTTGTAGAAATAATTTCATTATCTTCTAACTTGTTTCCCACTTCTTTAAATTAATTAATTCAATCAAAATCTATTTCATTTTTATGGATACCTCTGCCATTCTTTGATTACTTTCTGTCTTAATTTTTTCATGAATAAAACTGCTATGACATACACTTTATGAGTCATATGCTTATGCTATTAAAATTAAAGAAGTCTCATTTTATTATTTTTGTGCCAAGAACTCTCAGATTATTGCATTTGTGAACCGAGCATTTTCATCCCTAAACCAACCATTTTACCAGCCCCAGGCAATACTGCTATAAAAACATCACCAATTGTATCAAAGAGCTGTGAAAAGAAAGAGGATTTCTTCTTCCTAGTTCTTGTAATCTCTTCTTTTATTTGGTGTATCTCTCTATTTAATGCTTCAGATTTCTTTTTAAAGCCATCCATAAGTAGCTCTCTTTGGACCTATAAAAGATGAAGCATTCATTTCTGAAAATCCTCGATTATTGTCAGCCAGAGTTGTGCATTTATTCACTTCAGTAGCTAAGCACATCTATTTATTTTCCTTTGATCTTAGAATACTTTTTGCTATTTCCAGTGTTTGAGCCTGACAGTGAGAGGTTTCCTCATGGCAGTCTCACTGGAGTCAAGCATTTGGTTCCTGCCCAAATAATGCCCTTTGGCAAAGAATGCAGGTTGAATTGCAATTAAGGAGGAATAGTAGTAATGTTCATTTAACAAAATATTGGAAATGATGAGCTTTTATAGAACTCTGTTCATCAAGCAACAGTGTGGGACAAGGGTTTACTTATAGAGTGAATCAGGCAGATATTGAAACAAATGGAGCCTTTTCTGAACTTTTACTATCTTCTATTTTGTATCAGGACAAATCTAATAAATTTAGATCAAAGGGTTCTGTTTCAGGTCTCTTTGATGTTTTTACGAAGAATCCTAAGTAAGGATTAGAGGACTAAGGTACTATTCAAATGGTACACAGTGAGAACATCGTATAATCTCAATAAATAGCCACCCAGACCTTGGGGGACATTATTTATACCTTCCAAAGCCTGACACTACAGAGGGACAGAATTTCTATGGTGTACCGAAGTTTTAGTGAAATGTTTATCTTTGGGATTTCCCTGGGAAAAAAATTGGAATCATTCCTGTTTAAAATTTTGGTCCTTTCTCCCTCAGGCACTACCAAGCTCCACTCACCTTCAGCTTGTGCTCCAACATCCTTTCCTGTTCCCTCAGAATGTCCTCCTTTTCCCTCTCCATCTTCTCCTTTAGCTGAGCCACATTTTCCCTGAAGCTTCTCTCTTGAGCCTCCATCATTTGCTGCTGCTCCTTGCTTTTCTGCTTTAGCAGCTCCTTCTCCTTCTCAGCTGCTTCCTTCTTGGTCCTCTCAGCTGCTCCCCAAAGATTTTAGAGAGGGAAGGAACAACAGTCAGGCCTAACTCTAACCTCGAGCTCAGAAATCAAACTGATTTTGAAAAGAGGGGAAACATGAATTCACCCATTATCCAAGCCAGTAGGGCCAGGATTCCAAATATGGAAAGGCATTGATTAGCTGGGTGTGAACCTCAACTCTCCTTACAGTTTTCAGATTTAGCAGAGTAGGAGATCAGTTGTCGGAGAGGAAGCTCCTTATTGCAGGGAGGGTTTCCTGCCCAATTAGCCAGAGTGGTTTGCAGAAACCTATCCACCCCACTTGAGATCTAAGCCCTTCTTTGTACCTGCTATTGCCCTCTCTCCATCAGTGAGGGCTTTGTCTGATTGTAGGATGGATTTTTCTATAGTAGCCTGAGACAGGAGGAAGCTCTGGAGGACCTCATTTGCCTGGAAACCAAGAAGCAACAAAACACTTTAGGAAAGCATCTAGTCTTCTGATGAGAAAGTTATTATTCAATAAAAGTATAAATCTGACTTCATAAATTTTCCATTCTTCTTAGGATTTCATAGAGGTTCTTTGCTTTGGTGGTCACAGCTGAAAGTCCAAGCTGTTTGGGCCCATGAAAACTTACAGCACCTTCCTTCCCAGCCTTCTGGCCTCCTCTCAGTGATTCTGCCTACCAGCCACACCAAGCTACGGCTCCTATCAGACTTGTGTGCATTCCTACAAGCACAGAACTTCCACCATTTGCAATATTCACATATACCTCTTCTGCCTTGATGGTGCTCTGTCCTTTCCTAACAGGATATATAGATACTTCATCTTTTATCTTCTCCCTCCCAGATCAGGAAGATTTCTAAAATGCCTTCTGAGATTTTCCAGGTTTGTTGAAGTGTGATTGTCAAAAATAATTGCATACATTTAAGGTATATAACATTATGTTTTGATATATGTATACATTATTAAATGATTACTATAATCAAGCTAATTTACATATCCTTCACCTCTTATGTTTGCATTTTGTTGTTGCCATTAGAACACTTAAGGCATACTTTCTAAGTAACTTTCAGGCATGTAATGGATAATTTGAACTGTAACCACCATGCTGTACATTAGGTTTCCAGAACTATTTCATCTAACAACTGTTTGCTTATATCTATTTATCATTACCTCCCCCTCAATGCCTAGTAATCATCATTCTACTGTATTTTGATAGAAGATTGACTTTGGGATTTTTGTTTGTGCCACTAAGACTGAGTGCCCTCCTACATCTTGCTTATTTCACTTAGAGTCCTCAGGATCATCCATGGAAAACAGTATGAATATTCCTCATCCATATTATCACAATCAACAGGACTTTGTTAAGTCTGAATATTCCATCATACTTATTTAGTAATGAAAATTCACATGTTACTGCTGTATATAGACCAATAGAACAGGAAAGCCAAGAAGGAATGAAATTGTACCCATACCTTAAAGCTTACATAAAAATAAAATTAATATGGATTGAATATTTAAACACAATATCTAAAACTGTACTCTTAAGAATTACAGGGAAAAATCTCTTTGACAATCACTTTGGCAATGAACTTTTGGATTTGATGCCAAAAGCCCAGATAGCAAAAGTAAAACTTACAAAAAAATGAGATGACATCAAACTAAACAGTTCCTTCACAGCAAAGGAAATGATCAACAAAATGAAAAGGTAACATATAGAATGGAGAAAATGTTTGTAAAATACATGTCTGATAAGGGGTTAATGCCTGAAGTATATGTGGAACTCATACAGCTCAACAGTAGAAATAACAAAGAATCTGATTTTTTTAAAGTGGGAAATGGACCTAAAAAAACATATTTCAAAAAAAAAAAAAAAAGAAACGAAATTCAAATGGCCAGTAGATATTTGTGAAAGTGCTTCACATCACTAATCATCACTGAAATACAAATCAAAACCATGATGAGATATTACCTCACACTTGTTGGACATAAAGGATAAAAGATGTTCCTGAGGCTGTGCAGAAAAGGGCACTTTTGTAGAACTGTTGGTAGAATGTAAATTTGTACAGCCCCCACTGACAATAGTACGAAGACTTCTCAAGAGGAAAACTTCCAAGTCGCTAAAGGCTGCCCCATCAGCTTTACCACTCAATTGTGTGTGATCTTAGGCAACTTTTTTGGTCCTCTGTGGATCACTGTTTTCTAGTGCATAAGCATGGAAGACAGTACTACCTAGTTTGTGTTATTCGAGAACTAAATTGGTAACCCAACAGAATCACCTGAAAATATGGTTGTACCTGGTATCAAAAGAGAGAATGCTCAATTTCTATTAGCCACACGGTCACTGTCAGTACATAACAGGTACTGTGGGTGTATAATAACCATTATCACACCATAACAACTGAATAGAACTTTGCCCATCTTAAGTAAGATCAGCTTATGGAGAAGAAAGTAATTTCTTTCATATTGCATCTTCTACGCTTGGCCCCCAAACTACCCATTTTTTGATAAATAAAGGAAATAGTTTGTTTCACTTGAATTCTTAGTACAGTATCCACTCTGGGAAAATATTTCTGATTTATTTAAGAGCATCTAATTAAGAGTAGATATAAAAATGAAAAATGTCAACACATCACCATGCTCTGATTAAGTTTTACAAATGGTGCTGTGGCCTTAAATTTTTAGAAGGAGCAGCAAAGACTTTCTGACTCTACCCTGCTGACCGCCCCCATACCACCTTCTTATTCCTCACCTTAACTCCTTTCCTGGGCACATGCTTGTAGCCCTCTTCAACCCCTCTTTTTGCTTCTAAGTAGAGACCATGGCCTCCAGGAACAGAGAAAATTCCTTCTGAAATGTTTTTCATCAGTGACGCTGAGAGCTGCTCCAGCTTATCCTGGCAGTACTTGATAGATACAGCTTCATTTTGCAGCAAGAAATCTTCCTTCCTTCTCTCCATGGTGCTCTGCCAATAAAATATAGGAAACACAGCCACAAAGAATGAGAAATTAGTCGTTCATAGGAAAATGGATACATATTGAGGATATACTCCTAAGTGAAATAAATAAGTCACACATGTGCAAATACTGAATAGTTTCGCTGGTGTGAAGAACTATAATAGTACATAAGATCCTAATGAGAAAATTGACAATGTGAAATAGGAAAAAAAGGGCTAAAGGTGTAGGGAAAGTGGGAAGGGTAGGGGAAAGGTAATAAGGGAAAAGAAAAAAAATAGGAGAAAATGAAAAAAATGGAAATAAAGTGTTTGTAAACAGGGTGGGGAGGAGGGGGTGAAGGGAGGGCAGGAACAAGGGGAAAAACAAGAACCAAGATCTGTCATGTAAAGGTACAAGATCCCAATGATGAATGTAACTGTACTGTATACCTAAAATGCACCAATAAACTATTAAAAAATTAAAAATACATAAAATATATGCAATATATAAAAATATAGGAAACACACTACAAAGAAGCTCTTAGAAAGAAGCTCTTAGAGAGTAGGGGTAACTGGGATTCTCTTTGAAAGCAACACAACACTATAAAAAAAATCTGACTACTCCAGAGTGGATTGGAATATGGAAAAGAGCCAGGGGACTTATTTTAGTCCCAAATTTTGTCAATTCCATCTGAGTTCTGGAAAGTCTCTCGTAGTCAGGCTCATTCTGTCAAATGATGAAGTCAGAAGACTTAAATTTTAAGTTTTATTCAGCTATAATATAACTAACAAGGACCCAAACTCTATCAATGACCAAAAAAGTTAAACTCTGGATGGAAGTAAAAATCAGACAATATGGGTTGCTGTGGATAAAAATATGTACATGATAAAATAAATCCCCAGGAAAGACTTACATGTGTTCTGAACAGAATTTTGAACTCTTCATGAACTGTCTCAGTGACAGTTTGTGTGAGGATACAGGAAGAGGTGTTTTTTATTTGCTAACTCTTGTAAATCTCAGTCTAGCTAGATTTAAAAAAAAAAGAACTAATATTTTTGGTACTCTAAGGTTAGTCCTAGAGAGAATGAAAGGTGACTTTTGGGGAAGGTGCCTGGGGTTGACAGAATGAAGGTGTCTCAGGAGAGTTCTTTTGCTGAACCATCCCTTGATCTGTGAGTCAGATCACATCAAGCCTATGATTACATTATGTTATATGACACAAAGGGACCGTAGGAAATGGAGAGCACACTGTTGGGTATTAGTTAATCATAAATGTCTTTACCAAGCAGTTTTCTCTGAATTTAGCAAAAAAGAAAATTTGAAGGTCTAGAAACAAGAGAAGGAATTGCTTTCGATTGTATAAATAGCTTCTACAAAGCCTCTAGATGAGAACTAAACCCACATAACATCCTGTGTTTGGCTTGTGGTGCACAGAACACAGGACTTAGTCCCCTTTGCAGAATCCTCTAGAGAACTGTGAACTAATAAATGAATAATGTTGTGTTAAGCTGTTAAGCACATAATTTGTTTCCTAGCAATAGGAAATTAGGTGCCATCTTTTAGAAGAGCCCAAAGAGCCCTGTTAGCCACAAAAACCCAGGTTCCTTTAAGGCTGAGGTGGATGTAAACCATGGGATCAGGAGTGTGGAGTCTAAGCCTCATTCCAGAAGGCCAGGGCTGTGAAAGGATAAATGCTAAGGTGTATTACCACCAGCTGCTTCTGAAATTCCTGATTTTCATCCTTGAAGGAGTGATCCATGAAGACCTTGATGGCCTCCTTCTCACAGGCTGTGTGCATGTCCAACAGCTCCTGTAGCGTGTCTGTGGGGAACTGCACTCGCTGGGCCATCTGCTCGCTATAGTGGCTGGCTGCCTTCTGCATGGCTGCTGAGTTCTCTCGCTGGGCCAGAGTGGTCACTGCATTCTCCAAGCAAGGCACTGCCCCACTATTAATGGCCTTCACATAGGTCTCCACCAGAGTCCCCAGCCCTGAATGATGTATATTTAGGGAATAAATAGAAAGCTCTCACTCATCATTTTTACAAGCTTTAAAGAATGCCATTACAAAAATCACAACAACTTCTATATATATCTTAAAATTTTCTTCCCTTTCTCTTCCTCTTTCTTTTCTTTCTTTAATCGCAATCCGTTCTTTTTTATCTCTGTATGAGCCAATTTTTTGGACAACAGCAACATTTGTCCCACACATTCTTTTATGGTAAATTTACCACAATACAAAGTTAAATTACCAATTGCAAACAAGAGGTTATAGGATTTCCTGGAAAAATACTTTTCGATTTAAATAAAATAAAAGGAGTTTATTAGGTAATATGTATTACATAACTTGTGATTCCTAATTCCAAATGAAAATTCAAGTACCTTTCTAAAATGTATCATCATAAATTTGAAGAAGGAACCATAGTGTATTGAATCCAGTATGGGCCCATCCCATGGAGACTGCACTGGTGTACAGGCTATTTTTCCATGAAGTTAGTCTGTTTTAAATTTGTTTCTTAATTACTCAATGAGCTTGCATGAAATTCTTAGCCTGCTCCATATTTTCTAACTGCTATCAGGCTGGAGATTTAGCTCAGTAGTGCCGTGCCTACATTTAACTGGTATCAATTCATAAAATATCAGAAGCATTTATCCTATGGAACCTCTCATTTTAAAGATGTCTCTCATTGGCAGTAGTCTGTGCTTGTATTCTTAGTATATTGGCTTTCTGAGATGTATTAAGGCTCAATAAACATTCATCTAGAGAAATTTTAACTAAGAAACATATATTTCTATCTGTGGCATGAATATCTGTTTTCCATATTCCTTTACAAAAGCAAGCAAATGGGCAAATCCACAAAAGACACATAGCTACATCACTTATGCTGAATCACAGAGACATGCTTTGCAATTACAAAACCAAACCAAACCAAAATGAACCAAAACTTACGATTTCCAGTGACAACGATTCCTTCTCTCAGCCTCTTGGTCTTTGCATGGGTAAAAATATATGAACAGAAATTTTTTGATTGCATCTGAAAACTCCATTCCAGCTGGCTTTCTGGAACATCTTCAATACTGAATAATAAGTTCTTATCATTTGTAGGCCGGTCAAAGACAAAGCACTTCCGTACTGGAAAGAAATATCTGATACACTCTCTAGGAATGTTGGAATTTTGGATTTGGGGATTTTTCCCTGTAAAACAAGCATTTATTGAAAAGACTGCCTGCAGGCAAGTAGAATGAGCATCTCTGCATAACTGTATTCTTGGATTTATAAATCTTCCTTCGTCCAATCACATAGAGCAGTTTTATGCTAATCTACCCAGTGCATGGGTAATCCACTTCTGAACCAGAGCTGAGAGTGGTGGAAAGAGGAAGCACTCATCTCATGCTAATTTTGAACACAGAGGACTCAAAATACATCCATTTTCCTACAGATGCCTCAAGTTTATCCTTCTTTATGGAAGAACAGTACCCTATTGTATGTAAATATCAGATCTTCTTCATCCACTCATCAGCTGATGGACATGTAGTCCACTTCCAAGATTTAGCTACTATGAATTTTGTGCTGGACATGGGTATGTCACTGTAATATAATTAAAATCTTTAACATTTTAATCAAAAACATTGTCAGACCTTCTGATATTGAGACCCATGTCAGAAATGAGATGTGGGCTCTAAAGTAGTGGAATGCTAGGGGAAGAGCTAATAGACACATCTGTAAAAGAAAAAAGTATTTCAAAATCAGAACTAACACAAGCATACACAGACAGACACACACACATACCATAATTATATTCAGAGATTAGTTTACTAGAATCCAAAGTAAAATTAATCAAAACATAATTTGAAGATCTCACTACTCCTTGATATCAAATGCTATTATATTTCACATTGCTTTGCAGAAGTTCTGTGGTATAAATCACCTGTTCAAATAAATGTTGGTTCAAAAATGAATAAATAAATGAAAAAATGTTATTAATTGTAGGTATTATTGCTTATCTATTCTATCAAGCAAAATTCAAGTAATGAATTTATAGTATTAACAGGTCATTATAATGTATACTGCTATAGGATGAAGATGATGTTATCAAAAAGGTAAAGTGAATGATTGGACTGTATTATTAGAAACACATATCAGTATTTTTATTTCAGAATCATGTAGTGTATTAATATGCTTTCTCTGAAGGATGTGACTATACAGATTAGTAAAATATACTGCACTGAATAAAATATACTTTTTAATGAGGCCACGAGATTTCCTTGTGATTCTGGACTTAACATTTTCTAACTTGAGGAGCTATTTTTCTCCAAATGGAATAGGAGCAGATAAACTTAGTAAGTAAATACATCAGGCTAAGGAAGTGGTATTATTGATTATGAACCTCACTTCTTTTTCTTGGTATTGACTGATTTAAAACTATTTGATACAACCTCGAGACATCTATTTCCTTAGTGAATTGAAATCTTAGCCTCTGCAGATTTTTGAGTAGTAATAACTGCTAAAATCATGGCCACCTGTCAGTCGCGGATCACTATATGTCGAGTGATGAATGACAGAGCTTAGTTGCTCCCACAGCCGTAATGAAGCTTCCTCCACCCAAGCCATGCCACAGTACCTGGAATCAGCTTCAAGGCATTCTCCAGGTACTCATCTTCGGTGATGGGACGTCCACCTAACTTCAGCTCCAGTGTGAAATCCCGAACAGCCCAAATAAAGTCTGGAAAGAAACTTACAAACTCGGCAGAGTCCTCTATTTCATCAGGTCCAGAGCTAGCTTTTGTCCTGATCAGCTGTGTTAATTCAGTCACATAGCTGGGATCTTAGCTAAGGAATGAGAAACAAGTTTCCTTTAGAAACAAGTATTAAAAACAGCACTCGTTCTCCAGTTTCTGCTTTTACTCAACCATGACAATTGAGCTGCAGAGGAGAAGAAGCATTCCTAGTTGCCATTTGTCTAAACCTGATGACACGTGGTGGCTCAGGTCCTGGAAGGATACTGCAGCTGCTCCAGGGCCTGGTGGTTGATGGTGCTCATGCTGTTGTAGACAAAGACGCTGCTCAGAAGCACGGCCAGGGCAAAGATCCACGAGTCATTCTTAGGATCAGCCTAGAAAGCACATTACACTGAGGGACTAAGGAATTTACTGTTTACTCACGCATTCATTCACTTATTCAGTACTTTGTTCATTCTTTTAGCTATACCATTGCTGAGTACAAGAGAAACAATAAATTCTGAAGATGATAATAAATACATAACTCATATTTGATATTTACCTTGGTCCTTCTCAAGACATTAACTTATTAGATATTCAAACAAATGAAAGCCATTCTCAACTTGTATAAAAATATCTAATGAAGTACCCAGAACATAGTTGCTGTCCAGTAATAAATGGGCAATTACTGCATTACAAATTTCATCTCAATCACATAAATGCCAATCAAGTTTAAAACTATTTATTTGAACACTCGGCAAAACACTAGACACTGAATTTAGTTTTGTGAATACCAAGTTCTGCAAACATGACAACATATAAAAAAGTCAGTATGGGAAAGCACATAACTGAATAATTATTCTGTGAATTCCGAGCAAGATGTTATCATGTTGGGGACTGGGGAAGTAATTCAGTGATTAAGTGCTTGGCCAGCATGTGCAAGACCTTGAGTTCAATCTCTAATACTGCCCCCAAAACGTTATATTGAAATATGGCAAGAGGTAGAGTAGGTGAACTTTAAAGAGTCGATAGAATAATTGCTAGAGGACAGGCTTAGGAAGGCACCAGAGTTATTTTATTTGACTGAGGCAGAGAGTATATAGGCCAGACTGAAAAAGGAGGCTGAAAACAAGTTTCATGCGAGACATGAAAAGCTTTGAATGGGTTCAGGGCCCACCCCAAGCACCTCACAAGCTGAAAAGACAGTCTGTAGTTTTTCTGCCAACTGTTCAAATCTTGTTATGTTTTGGTCTTATAACAAATGAAATGAGATATAAAGAAAAAGCTTTATGCAAAGTGCAATCAATTATACATTGATAGTGAATCTTGGCTTGATATTGAGAAGAAAATTGAGAACTTTAAAGCTGAATTTTTAAAATTCTGAATTTCTAAGTCTGTGATTTCCTTCCTTGTGTTTCCCCTTCTTTTTTGCAACAATGGAATCCAAAGATCCACTGCTACTTTCAGTTTAGATTAGGCTAATAGAAACTAGGAGAAAAGATTGACTGCAATCAATATTGACAAAGCATTTTAAATTATCCTAGATGCAATAGTTTTGATGCGTCTAGCACATGCTTTTTTTTTTTTTTTTTTTTTTTTTTTTTTTTTTTTGGTACCAGGGATTGAACTCGGGTCCTTGCGCTTGCAAGGCAGGCCACCCAACCACTGAGCTAAATCCCTGGCCCTCACATGCTTTTTCAATAGGGAAGAATTCATCTCCAGAGCTCAGAGACATGGACCAAATCCTTAATGATGAAATGAAGGCTTTTATGAAGATTACTTGGGTTATTTAAATAGATTCAACCATAGAAATCCTGTTTCTTCTCCTTTTTCTTCTTTCTCATTGTCTTCTTGTGCTCCTTATCTTTCCCATGCTTCTTTTGAGACAGGGTCTTTTTAGGTAGTCTTTGCAGGCCTGAAACTTGCAATCCTGCTTCCCCTGCTGAGTGCTTGGATTTATAAGTGTGCACCACCTGAAACCACTCAGACTATTTTCATGGTCCCTATCGTCAACTCCATTACATCCTCACATCTTAAGTAGAAGATTTCACTAATGCCATGTTTTACAGTTTTCTCCAGGAGGCTTTCCCTAATAACTGGATCAATTCCCCACTTTTTGCCTCTGCATTATCTTGTACTGATCATACTCCACATTTCTTGCTTCCACAACCAGACTCTAAGACATTATTTTGTTTACTGTTTTATCTGTTGCACTTAATACAGAACCCTGAAATTCATTTGTTCAATGAATGTTTATTAAATTAAATCATTCTCCCTAGTATTAAAAAAAATGAAATATCCTTAATATACCAATGTATTTGAGGAAATGGAATCTAGCCCCATTGTTTATAAACGGATTTTCAGTTTGTAGTAATATATCACAGAAGGTGAACTAAGGTGATTATCTGACTCACCTTTTCCACATCTCCCAGGCCCTCAGTATCCAGAAGGACCAGGGTATGGTTTGGCTTGGTGGGGTGGGGAACACACCACATCCAGATGCCCTTGGTTTTAGATTGTACTGTGGACCCCAGAGCAAATCCTAAAGGGAGAGGAGAAAAAACAGTAACAGCACAGAGACTAAGCCAGCAGGGGTTACATTGGCTAAAGTTACAGGAATGCAAGTGCTAGGCAAGGAAAGCTATTTCAGGAGGATAGCCAGTCCAGTCTTTAGGTCTGCATTAAAGACTTGGAGAGAAACATTTTGTGTCCTGTTCACCTGACTTTTTTTACTCAAATTGTGTCACATTATGATATTAGTGTGAAGTCTGTTGTGTATTTTTATTTGACCTTGAAGAGTTTTCCTGTCCTCTGGATTCTGGTAGAGTTCAGCCAGTAGGAAGCCAGTAGGAAGCAACAGGAGACAACAGAAGGCAGGCATGTGCTCCTCCAGCTTCCACCCTGCAAGGCCACAGTGCCCGGGGCTTGTTTCTTTTCCTCTACCTCAGGTCACAGTTCCTTTCATCATTTCCATCCAAGAGTTATTCTCTTTCCAACATACTGGCTTCCATCCATTGCTAACCTCCTCAGAGAATAAGAGTGACAAAATGGCAATTCTCATTTGGCCATAAAATGTTTCACTCATGGGGGTGGGGGGCTTTCTCACACTTTGTGAACTCCCTGTGCTCTCTCATAAAGGATTTACTGTGTTTGCTACAGTCTGGATCTGGAATAGTTCCCAAAGGCCCATGTGTTAAAGGCTTGTGCTATTGGGAGGTGGTGGAAACTTTAAGAAGCAAGACCTAGTGAGAGGTCTTCAGGATACTGTGGGACCCTGGTTTCTCCCTCTTCTTTTTCTCCCTGACCTTCCATGAGGTAAGCTGTTATGTCCTGCCATGTGCTACCACCACAATATGCTGCCGCATCTCAAGCTCAAAGGCACAAGGCCAAGCCAAACATGAACTGAAATCTTTAAAACTGTGAGGCAAAACAAACCTTTTATCTTTATAAGTTAACTTATCTCCCGTATGTCTTATAGTGATGGAAAACTGACACAGTGGGTGATCCGTGTCCTGCCAGGACCTGAACTGCTATATTATTAGCTTTTGTTGGGTTTAGTATACCCTTTATTTTATTCTCTTTATTTTACTCATACTTTCTTCTCTCCAAGCAAATGATGAGCTCTCTGTCTATTGCCTCATTAGTGGCAGTCATAGAAGTGAAGGAAAAACAAGAAACAACACCTATAGGCCTTTCTTTCCACAGATTTAAGCCCACAGTGGAAGGGATCTGAAGATTGCTTCCAGGAACACATGGATGTTATAACTTGGACAATAGGCAAGATTTTGACCATTTGCCATAGACCAATACTTCCTTCCTTCAACTGAGAACAGAAATCAGTACGATAAAGTTCCTGGAGGATTGCTTCCCCATGACTCAGACCAATCAACTTTACACCCTGTGTGATTTCCATAAAGAGGGTATCAAATCAGCACTTTCCTACACTGTGACAGTGTCACATTGCTATCACTGTAAAATTGTAAAGTGTGATGGCAGATCTCCACTCTCAGTAATCTGAGAGGCAATAAAGCAAAGTGAGTTAGCACATAGAGTGAAGTTCTGGTTCCTGCTCATGGTCTTTGACTTGGAGTGGGACTCTTTTTTTCCGCTCTTCCTATGCCACAGGAGGATAGTAGAGTCACTGTTCAGATTCTTAAAGTATTTGGGGATCACAGCCTCCTATAGCTGAGCCCTGGGAAATTATCTCCTTGTTACTTGACTTTACTTTGAGTAGGAAAGTATTTTTTTTCCATGATCCTAAAACTTCCTTTCTAATAAGTCTATCATCTGAGGGTTCTCAACTCTAATTCCTTAAAAATGAGCTTTGAAGTTTCTCTAGTGTGAGAAATGAAAGTGTAAATAAATACTAAAGGTGGGAAGAGTTAAAGGGAGGGCAGGGGAATGGGGGAAAAAAACCAAGTTGGATTGTGAAAAGGTGCAAATTTCCAATGATGAATGTCATTATATTGTATACCTTGACTGTACCAATAAACTTAATTTTTAAAAATAAGCTTTGAATTTATTTGTTCTATGAAAGGAAAAATGTCCTCCCCTAATTGATGGTCCAGAATTCTAAAAGATACCGACAAAATGTTTTCTTTAGGAATAGTGAAGAATGGAAAGGGTAAAAGAGAGGGGAAACAATGGGAGGAAATTGAGAAAGACAATCAAAAACAGGGGGAGAGAGTGATAGAATAAGCAAGGCAGTGGAGAGATAAGACCCAGGGATCTTTAGCTTAGTAGACTGAGTTTCAACTCTTCCCCCCATACCCCCAGGGATCAAACTCCTGTCCTTGCGCTTGCAAGGCAGGAGGAGGAGGCACTGAGCCAAATCATGGCCTCTTCATGGTCCTCAGATGCTGAGCTGGACAGAAAGTAAGACATGAAAGAGGAAATGGCTACACAGTCTGTATTTTTAATTTATTTTTTTGTTACCAGAGATCGAACTCAGGTCCTTGTGCCTGTGAGGCAGGCTGCAGAACCACTGAGCTAAATCCCCTGCCTGAGTGCATAGACTTTAAAGACTGACTCACCAAACATCCTCCCAAAATTAACAGCAAAAAGAGAGAAAGCTTGCCTTATATTATTAAATTTTTGTGGAATTTGTGGAATCCTCAATTACTGATGAAATACGATGTACAGTAAATTGCATATAAAGTTCGGTAAGCTGTTTAATATTACTCAGCCTTCAGAAAGGCTGGAGATTTACCTATTCTCTGATCCAGAAATTCTGGATATATTTGTACAAGATGAGTTTTTGTACATGTGCACCAGAATGTAAATGTAAGAATACTCATGACAACATATTCATGAAAGATAAAAACTAGGAATAACACCACTGTTTATCAATAACATAGTCATCAATAACAAGTAAATTGTGGTATCCTTAGAAAATAGCATACTAAGCATAGTGTAAAAAATTATAGATATACATGACAACTAGACAAAGATTATAAATTTCTTGTCATACAAAAGCAGCAAAACACCCAAAATAAAATTCAAAAAGCCAAATTAAATTTTGAATGGATAACAGATATTTACTCTATTAACTTTATTTTATGTGTATGCTGCATGTACTCAATATGTTATAGTTTGTATGTTACAAAAGACACAATAGAAAAAGTGTGAGAGTGATTACTTGTCAAAAATTTGCTATGAAATAGAGAAAAGAAAAAAAACTGGATAGTAGCCCAATTCAGATATCAGACAAGTGGGATCCTACTGCACCTTCTTTAGCCCCCCCCCAAATAACACATTAATCTGTATTTGCCTGCTACTTGAAATGAGTATGTCACTTGGGCAAAGCATACGAAAGATGCAGGAGAAAGAAAGGGAGTGATTTTTGGAGCGAGAATCTGAGCAGGTGACAGTGGAGGAGTTGGGGCAGAATAGTATTCTGGAACTTCTGATAAGGTTGGAAACTCTTAATGAACCAAAGAGTGAGGTTTATGGATAAGTTTCAAGTTATGAATGGGATGGTAGTGATTAGAAATTTTCTTCAGTGGGAAGGTAAACCCTTCCTTAAAATGACCGTAGAGAAGGTATAGTCAGTGTGTTCTATCTTTGGTTTCAAGCAAATTGTCCCTGGCCGAGGATCACACTCACCATGGTTCTGCCCTGCCAGACGATTCATGAGGTAGGATTTTCCAGTACGATATATACCTACAATGGCCACCACCACCACCGGTTGAGATATCTTGTCAAGAATCCTTAGGGTTTTGGAATTCACGGTCAGCTGCCCTTTCTTGTTTTCCACCAGACAAACTGGAGCCTCCATGATAGATTCTGATGCCATGGTAACCTGCAACCCAGAAAAGCCACGCTTTGGAGCAGATCTTACAGTCATCTCTGATGGTTATTCAAGGCACATGCATGTCAATTTTTTGCTTGTGGAATGTATTTATTAATTTTCTACATTTTGTATGTTTCTAAAGAAAAAAAATAGTATAGCATGTCCAGACCTAGTACAGAATGCCTTTTGGTAGTTATCTTATGATTTCTACAAGAAATACAAAAAAGCACTACCCAGACTTTGTAAGAATAGAATGAGAAAAGGACAGTGCTATTGACAGAGCCCTGAAAACCTTAGCATTTGGGGATGGGTAGAGGCAGGAGGTGACAAGACAGAGATGAAGAATGGGTAGGAAAGGTTCTAAGCATCCTAGAAGAATTGTGTCTCTCATTCTTTCAGAGAGTTTGTATAGAGTATCTGGCGTGTGGTATCCAATGTTCTAGGTGCACATCATCCAGGACTGAACAAAATGCTTACACATTTCTGCCTTACAGATAATGGTTCTGGTGAAGGAAACAGACAATGAAAGCTAATAAACAAGCCATAAACTCTATACACACATATATGCCTGTAATATATACGTAACCCCCCCCACACACACGCAATGCACATTAAAGGTAAGTTCTCGGAGGAAAATAAACAGGGACTGGGGATAGGGACGTTAGAAGTTCGATTTACACTTGAGATAATCTGGGAAAGCCTCCATGAGAATGAAACAAAGTCAATGATCTCATGGATATTGACGAGGACAGATTCAGGGAGTCAGTCAGTCACACCACTGAGCGCAGGAAGAGGGAGGCTGGAAGAAGTGACCTCGGAGAAGCCCCTCCACAAGGGGGTCGGGGTATGGTCCCCAGAGTAGGCTTCCTGCTCCTGTACCCAAGATGAGGGTGGGATGCGCTCCTCAGCGTCCCAGGCTGTTGCAGCAGAGCGCACCGCGCGGATGCGGGGCGCCGCTGTCCCTCTGCAGCCGCCTCCGGAAGGCGCTTTGCGGGTCACACACCATAGGGCAAAGCCACAGAGTCCTCCCAAGGTCCGCACCACCCTCCAGCGCGAGCTTGTCACCCCAGGGAGTGGCGCTGACTGCGGACGGGCTGGCGGAAGGCAAACGCGAACTCACCTAGCGCCGGCGCTGCAGCGAGGGACAAGTTCTCAGCCGCTCTAGCCCGCGGAAACCACAGTTCTGAAAACAGCCCAGCTCTTACAGCCGGCTAAGATAAAACCGAAATCGAAACTACATTGTATTTTGAGGTTTTTGCCCTGTTTCCAAGTAAGCAGAAAGACAGATTATGAGATGAGGAGGGAGGAACGTCCTAAACTTTCAAACCCATTTATGAATTTGCCGAGTCCTCTCCCTTCAGACTGGAGCCTGCAGCCTCTCCCCCTAAAGTCAAGTCTTCACCTTGTGCCACAGCGCTGCTGCGACCTCACGCACTCTCCAGGGTCCCTGGGAACCAGGCCCATTGACTTGGGAAGGAGTCCAGGGACAAAGCCACTTTGTCTCCAGACACTGGGAAAGGACGGGCCAGGGGCAGCTTGCTGGGCCTCCTGGAGGCCCGCTTGAGCACGTTTGGGTCGGTGAAGGCAGAAGTGAGCCCACTGTTTTCAGAGCACCCTCAGAGAGCTCGCTTTCAGGCCCTCTGCGTTTTAAATCCAAGAACCTTTAACCCTGGGACCTGATACAGGTTTCACTGTTGGAACGCGCCCACTCATATCCTCTCCAGTCCCATTTAAAAGAGGAATAAGTTATTTGGGAACAATACTTCTCATTCCTTGAAAGCCAAAGTCCTCTCAAAGTTCAAGCTGAGAGACCTGGTATTTGAGGTGGGCAGAACGGGCTTGACCATAATGCCACACAAGGGGAGAAAGCAGGGTTTCGCACAAAACGTGACCCCCCCACCCGTCTGTCCCTGGTGCTTTCGAGCTGTGACCACTGTAACAGAACCAGTTTCTCATCTCTTTCAGTGCTGCTGGGTCCTCTAAGCCTCCCGGAAGCGGACAGCTCACCACACTTCCCACTCAGAAAGAAAGAACCCTGGGGCGCAATCATCACTTTACAGATGGAGCAACAGAGCAGCATTGACACAGCCTGACACCAGGCTTCCGGTCCCTGCAAGGGCGAGTGCCTCTAAGGTCTGCAGCCCCAACTCACCACTTCTTCTGTTTCCTGTGTCTACTGGGAAGAAACCTGCAGCTGAGGGCTGAAGCGAATCTGTTGTGAGTGAAGAGTGAGCGGAATCCTCCAGCCCTGGGTATCTTAGCCTTTTTGCAACTGTTATTTTTATTTTTCAATTTCCCATTTCTCCTATCAGCTCTCTATTCTGTTCCTTCAGCCAAAGTCCTCATCTTCCCAAGGCTGAGAATTGTACAGAAAGTTCAAAGAAGGCATTTCAAATATGGTACACCCAACCTGCACAAAACAAGATTAAACCAAAATAATCGAATTTAACTTTTTGGGGGGAACAACTTTTCTACTACAAGAGGCAATGGGGCCCAAGAGCTAACTTTGTTTAAATTATAAAGAAGCTCTGTGCGATGGAACTTCAGTTTCGTTGTGTTTTATACACGTGCTCACCAGGATGTGCACTTGGACACTGTCTCAGTCCCTGGAGTTGTGATCTGTGTACACTAGTACTGCAGTTTGGACTTGGAGAATTCCTCATTTTCCTTAGACTCTGCATTTCCACCTAACTAGGAGATTGAAAAATTAAAAATAACACTAGCTGCAAGAAGTCGAAGACAGCCAGGACTGGAGGATTCAGTATTCACTCCTTTCACTAGCTGTGGTTAAAAAATGCTTCTTGGAAATAATTTTAATTTTTAATACTGAGACGTTAACTCCTTTGGCTATGTTACCCAGTGAGGAGAGCAACTTTGTAGGAATAAGGGAAGGGTTTTTCATTTGTGCAAGTCTTTGCTTCCTAGTTTTTAGGTGGATCGTTGTCTGTTCTTCCTTGTAAAATATGAGACTGAGGAGAGTGGAGCAAATCCCTGAGCACCAGTAGTTGTGGTTTGGTTAAGGAAGAAATACAACTAGAAACCAATCAAAAGACTATTTAGAAAACTGGGTGCAGACCAAGAGCAGCATGGCCACAAATAAAGTATGGCTATTGTGTGTGGCAATATGGATTTATGTGCTAATTATTTAAATTTGATTATCACATATTGTATACATATTATTGAATTATCACACCAAACCCCATGATGTAAAATAGAATAATTACAATTAATAAAATTAAAGTAAATTTGAAACATCAAAGTAAAATAAATTACAGACATAAAAATATATTTCTAGGTATCAGTGTGCAGACATGTCTGGGCATAGGAAGCACATTGCGGCTATTATCATGTCTTTTCCTTTGTTTTCTGGGGAAAGAGAGATATGTAAGATACAATATCTTCTTCCACATGTTTTAGTAATTACAAGTTGTTAGGGAATTGATCATGTTAAAGTACGCTGTGACGCCGCCTCACACTGCATTCTCTCACATGTTTTAGTAATTACAAGTTGTTAGGGAATTGATCATGTTAAAGTACGCTGTGACGCCGCCTCACAGGCTGCATTCTCCTGGTACATCTTGGTTCCTAAAATGACCTCATGCCCTTATCTCTGGTTTCTCTCCCCCGCAAGGCCACAGTGGTCCAGGAAAGTTGAAACCTGTGTCTGCAGGACTGGGCCCATAAAAGCAATCTGGCCTGTGAGGGGTTAAAAGTAGCTCACTCCTCCTAAATAAGCAATAGCCCACCCAAAACTGATAAAAGGACCTTCCTTTCTTTGTTCTTCTCTCTCCTTCTGCTTCTTCCTCCTCTCTCTCTCTCTCTCTCTCTCTCTCTCTCTGACTTCCTGCCTCCTGCTCGCCTCCCTACAATAAAGTTCTCCTGCTGGACCTCTCGGTGCATGAGTGGCCTAATTGGGAAGGGGCACCCGAAAGGACACGCGAACCCCCTTTCACAAGTAGACTTAGGTTTTCTTAATGGAGAACAGAAAAATTTTAGGATGGTCCCATCCAATCTCACCAGCAGTTGTTTGGGTCACCAATGGGCCCAGATGTCCAGAGCAATGTTGCCCAACCTCTCAGAGGAATGACCAAATCCGAAGGACGGTATCAATTCCTCCCAATCGAGAAGAGGTGTTTTACCTCTCCTGCCTTTTTTCTTTTTTTGGCAGAATTTATATCTTTCTTTCTTCCCCTTTTCTTCTTTTCTTTTGAACTCTTCTTCTCTCCATGACGCCTGCTCCTCCTGCTCCTTGGGTTTCTTACAAACCTGTTCAATCAGAAACTTCCCAGAGATTATTCTGCACATTGTTTTCAAAAGTGCATCATTTCCAATCAAATAGACAGAAGTAAGATCATTGAATATGAACAAATAGTTACTCCTCCTGAAATCTACTTCTGTTTTAGAAAGCATTGTAAGTTTGAGGATCATTTAACGTACACAATGGAAAACCATTATCTACTAAGGAACAAATATATTCTTTCATTTGGCTACATGTTTCCTAATTATACACCTGATGAAAATGTATTTGTGTGTGCACAAAATTATACAGAATCATCATAGCAATCATAAAAAGAATATTTATAGTAGCTCCAAATGAAAATCTCCCAACTGTCCATTCACCGTTATTAGGTAATCAATGTGACATATTTGTTACACAGAAAAATTTATGGCAATAAACATTTCTAATCTCTAGTCACACGGAAGATAAGTAAACATCACAATCATCATGTTGAGCAAAAGGAATTGGACACAAAAGGTACACATTGTGTGATTCCACTTAGATGAGGTTTACAAACAGACAAACCCAATGTCTAATGTAAAAAAGTTTGCCTCTGCTGTGTCTGGGTCACCTATAGAATTTGGAGTCTCCTCTGGAGTCATTGGATAATTTGAAATAAGATTCCTACATGGGCTGTCAGAAAAAGTTGTTCAGATTCTACCGTTGCCAGTCAGTGTGTCTCAAACCATAACCTAAGAATAGCTGGCAAGGGCTCACGAGTTCCACTTGTTCCTTCTTACTGTTGCTTTGTTTTCAGCCCACCAGTTTCCTAGTTTTGTAATGTTAAGAGATAAGGTTATTCCTAGATTTTCTTTGGAACCAAATTCCAGTGTTTATTTTAGGACACAAACTGAAACTATGTGAACAGATCGAAAGTGAAAACAAGGCAAGGCTTCTCGGAAAGAGGAGCATTGCTAGGAAATCAGCAGATTTTCCTTCTCACCAGTAAAATTTGTGTTTACATCAGACCACCAAAAGACAGCTTCAGGGACAAGTAAAGTTTGAACTTCATATGTACAAGAACTGAATTTTGTACCTACCAAGCTTCTTTCCAGAGAAAGTTAAAAGTTAAATCGTCTGAAGTTAAATTTAGAAATATTGGATAATAATTTAATTTCAGGTAATTTTAATGAGATTCTATTCATGAAAAATACTTGATGAGACCATAAAAGCATATATACTCCAAGACTTACAGGATTACTAGATCAGTGAATTTATTAGTGATTATTTTTATTTTTCTGTTTTTTTTAAATTTAATTTATTGGTACATTTTAGGGATACAGTACAGTTACATTCATTACTGGGATCCTGTACCTTTACATGCCAGGTCTTGTTTCTCATTTTTTCCCCTTTTCCCCACCTGCCCTTCACCCCCTCCTCCCCTCCCCACTTCAAACACTTGAATTCCATTTTTACATTTTCTCATATTTTTTTCCTTTTCTCTTATTCCCCCTTCCCTATCCTTCTCACTGTCCCTACACATTTGGTCTGGGTTTTTTGTTTTTTTGTTGTTGTTTTGTTTTGTTTTGTTTTTGTGGAGTAAGAAGAATTTGTTTACATGAATAGGAAGTGTTAATACAACAATCATACAAATACATATGGATAATATAAAGCATTTTCCATTTTACAAAGGAAATTATTTCAAGAAACAATTTCTGGTAGCCCTACATACTGGGTACTGCTTTTCAACTGGTCACTTACTGTTAGAAATTTATTTACAAGCAATAGTTATGTACATATTAGTATTAGATTGGGCACACATAACTTGTTTATGTACTAGTATTTTAGACTGCAGAGGCTGCTTAGAATAAGGAACTGTATGGGCTTCAACAGAAATAGGCTTCTGATTGATAATCACTGCAGACAAGAAAGGTGCATGGTTGGACTTCCAAATTAGATAAAACTGGATGACAATAGCATGTTGTAATTAGGACAAATTTTAATTTTATTTATGTGGCAGTTTATGTAAATATTTTACAATTAGCCATGTTCTATGTGTCTGGATACTGAGCCCTTTTTGTAATAAGCACAGGGAACTCTCTACTCAGGAAGAGCTCCCTTAAGGATTAGAAGCACTGGCTTTTGAATCAGTAACAAAGTCATTGCTAAATGGCAGAAGAGTGGGTAAAGAGTCAGTGAAGTTTAGAGCATGAGTTGGGTCAGGAGGAAGAGCAGGACAGGATACACTTCTATGAACAGGTGTGGCGAGTAGCAGGCCTGCTAACACATGCCAGTTATGCCCTGTTCCAGGGCTACAACCTGCTACACCCCCATTCCCCTGAAGGGTCCTGCTCCTAAAAATCACTGCAAGGTCAGAATTCCTGCCACAGAAATTCCCTGTTTTCATGCCCAAATGTTTCAAAGGGAAGGCACTCCCATGACTACAGATAGATTCTTTAAAAATTCCTATCTCCTTGCTATTATCCAGGCACATATATGTGCAATGCAATATTCAACAAAGTTTAATTTAAGCATTTTCTTATTGTAACCAAAAACCTGGCATGGAATTTTGACTTCAAGGATTTAGGCTCCCTCTTATGTAACCACCAAGGGATACTGGTGTTGGTCATAGAAGATGACATCTGACAATGGGCCACTTAGCTTCATCATATAAGGATACAAAGAACCAAGGTGAAAAGCCAGAGAGCCCCTGTGGGTGGCTGTCAGGGACAGTGTGAAACCAAATGCACAGTGGTTCAAGAACCTCAAAAAACCCATTTGGTGCCATCATGGCTTAGCTCAAGGGAATTTCTTTGTGTGTTGTATTTTCTTTCTATTTTTGTGTTGTTGTGGATCAAACTTAGGGCCTTGACCATACTAGACAAGTGCTATATTGCTGATTTACAACCCTAACTGTATCCCTGCAGGATTGTAAGTCATCTCCAGTCCTGTGAAGAATCAGGTATAGTATATAAGAACATAGCTATTATACAAGTTCCAAGAAAAGAAATTCTGAAACAAGGATGAAGGCATCCTCTATATGATGATAAGACTTCAAGCCAGGAATAAAATGTGAGTCAAAATAAATAGCAAAATAAAAGACAGACAATAAGAAGCAGGGAGATAGATCTGTCTAAAATGGAAAGCAGGGGACCAAGAGATGAGGGGAGAAATGAAAAAAAGAATTAAGATGTGCCATGTACATGCACCAACTCTGTACAAG